CACCGGCCATCACTACTGCTATACAACCTAACATACACACCGATTCCAAACCAAAAACTAAAACAAAAATTGCAAATCAAAAGCCCATAGATCTGAAAACACTGGTTTGGACTCGAACTACTAACCAGATATGATGAAACGAAGCTCGATAAGAGGGAGTAACTTTCACCAATATTTTTTATATATTTGAAATGTAATCATGATGTTTTTCAGCATTCGATCAATATATGCATCTTTAAGTTTAAAATAAGTGAAAGAGTTATATTTTTGGCAATAAAGTTCAAAAATTAATACAAGTGGAGATATGTTATTGCAAGCATGATCTATAAAAAGGGAAGTTCTTTTATACTTTATACTCTCGAATATTTTTATAAATATGAATTGATTTTATATTACGTATGTGTGATTTATTTTTGATTATGTTATTTCAGGAATGAATATGCATGGATGAAGAGTGGCGTGCATGAAGAGGAAATCTTGGAGTAAGATAGAGGAGATATTCACTTACCAAAATCCGAGGGACTCAACCAAAAGGAAATCGGATAAAAGAAGAAATGTTACTTGGAGAGGACGCCACACCTAAAGATTGTATATATACCCTAGTTGAAGATTGAAGACGGCTGCTGAAAATCATCATTCATCATATATTCTTCAAGCTTCACAATCGAGTGTGTTTTTTATTTTATATTGTTTTAGTTCTTTAGTGTTCCTACGAAACTAAAGACTGAAACTGTTTTTCATTTTTCAATTGAACTATTTTCATACTTTACACTTAGGGATTAAGTGTAGGATAAAAAGTCCACAGGACGTGGCCGGAGAATTAGTTGATAGGATCGTGTATAGGTGTGGCTAGACTAGAAGGGAGTTCAAGTCGTGTAAGTCCAAACTATGCAATGTTACGGTTTATCAATGAAAGAGCTCTGAGGGGAAGTGAGACACTTCCCTGAAGAGTTTTATATCTTTGGTTATTGCTTCTGCTATTTTAAACATTTACTTGTGTTTTTACAAAGTTGAGCGCACTCGCGATAAATCATACATTTCAATAAGGATTTTATTATTTATATATATAATTCTAGGCAAAATTTTTAATAAAACTCTTTTCGTTTTCCCNCATGCCAACTACTTTGTCTTTATTCTGTTCTTTGCTATGTTGGAGAGAGAATTTATTATTATTATTATTATTATTATTATTATTATTATTATTTCAGCTGTGGTGGCAACTTCTACAAGCCGCACACCGTCCTCTTCCTCCCTTCCTCGCGTTTACTCCACCGCTGCTGCCACTAGCCAGGTACGTTGCATAAATCCTGTTTGTTTGTGCTTGTTTGACATCATATATGTACAGGGGCGTATCCTTATACCCACACTGGAAAAAAAAATATAACTTCTATATCCTTTAAACTCAAAAATTAGTTTAATATGTTGGGGTAGAACACCAAAACGCAGCGGACAAAAATACCCCTCCAACAAATATGGCAAGCACTACTCCAAACGAAAATAAGCCAACACAAATAAATAAAAGACGGAAAATAAAAAGGACACAAAAATTGATAACGGAGTTCGGCGAAAATAGCCTACGTCTCCGAGCACCGCCAACCGCAACGCCAAATTTACTAAACTCACCAACAAAATACAACTAGGGTTAAATAACCCACAAATTAGGATTTCCTTAATTAAGGATATCCTACCAAGAGAGGAGAGAATAGAATAAGGTGCAATTGTAACCCAAAGGCAATGGACCTATTTATACTAATAAGATCCTACACATCTTTGGTACATATCCTATGTTGGACAAAACTTAATCAAAAACTAACATAATACTCCATTAATAAAATTAAAAAACAATTCTTTATGAGAACATGAAGGGAAAAAAAAAAAAGAGATAATAGGGAAAAAATTACTATTCTTATTGATTTTGGTGAAAGTAAATCTAATCCTTATTTTTATAATTTTGATAGAATAAATTAAACTTAACATTATTGTAGTTAATTGAATGTTGTTTCTTAAAATACTATTTTGACATATTTAAATTTGTGTGTGACTGATAACTTAAATTGTAGGTATTCTAAAAGTTTGATATATTAGATAAAACATTTTATACATTGAAATTATTTTGTTATATCAAATTTTGGAGAAATATATTTATAAATATCCTTGACAAAAATTTATGTAGAAATGTTTTAAAATTAGCTACTTTAATTCAAATATACTCGAGGTGAATTGTAATATTATTGGACAAGAAAATGTAATGATCTTATTATAGAGTCATACCGAGCTATGAAAATCCATAAAATTACTATGAGTGTATATTTTTGTATTTATATTTTGTTACGATGTATTATATTTCTTCTCTAGAAACAAATAGGCCCCCACTCATTTTATGAGCTAGATCCGCCCCTATATATGTATTGGATTTGCGACATGAACTTGAGATATTTTCTGGTTAAAGTTACATTTGTATTAGTGATTTGCGGTTGTGATTCATAAGGAAGGGAAAACCTTTGATTGTGCTGTGAAGAATACAAATAAATGTGCTCGAGGGATTGTGAGTGAGCTGGGGGAAGGCATCTGCTTATGTGGTTCTATTGTAGAAAGTAATCAAGCTGTAGAAAGTAAACAAAACTTCAAATCTATATATATATAAAAAAAAATAAAAATAAAAATAAAAAATAAAAAAAAATAAAGAACAGAACGTTCGAATCAAATGTAGGAACCACAATAAGAAACCTTAGTTTAACATTCAATGTGAGAATATTCTTCTACCATCCTGCATCATGACAACGAAAATAGGATAGCCACATTTTTTCTTCAGCGAACTAGTTAAATGATCATTATTGTACAGCTGTTGGTGGAGTTAGTAAAAAGCAGCGGTTATATGGGGTTGGGAGTTTTGGCGCCTCATAGGTATCTTTTTTTTTTCTTTAATTCTCAAGTTTCCTGTGAATATATCGTTTGTAAACTTATATTTACAATCAAGAACTTGTTGCTCTTATATTTGTTTCAAAGATATTAGCAGGAAAGTTATCTCGGATTTCAGAAGTTGATATAGCGCGCATTCGTGAGGAGGGAAGAGCTGAGGGTCGGGCTGAAGTGCAACAAATCTTAGATAAGTATAAGGGTGAAGTGCAACAAAAGTTTGATGACATGGATAAACGGTTTGAGATGATGATGGCCCGCATAAACACATCAGAGAGCACACCTTCTGGATGCTCGTAGAGTCGTGTTGTAGTATTCGTGGTTAGATGACATTTATTTTGAACTGGATGGAATATATTTTATTAGAAGTTTGTTTTTAGTTAGATTAACTGAATTATGTGTGGATTTTAATTTTCTGGATTAACCGAGTTGGATGAATGATATTTTATGTTGTGTTGTTTCGTTGGGAAAATTTGTTCGTATTCATTTCGTTAGGTAATAACTTTGGAAAAATATATGTTGGAAATATGTTGATTCCCCGAAATTTTGTTTGGAGAATTTTTTGTTGATAATTTGTTGGTCAAATATCAATTGTTACTATGTTGGGGAAAATCTATTGGTAATCTGTTGGAAAAAAAATCCGTTGGTAATCTGTTGCTAAAATATATGTTGATAATGGTAAAAGAATTGTTGGTAATCCGTTGGTAATCTGTTGATAAAATATTGGTTGGTAATCTGTTAGGAATACACCCATTGGTAATCCGTTAAGAAGAAATTTGTGGGTAATCCCTTGGCAAAAATATGTTAGTAATCTGTTGGAAAAAAATTGTTAGTGATCCGTTGGTAATCCGTTACTAAAATGTCGTTGGTATTCTGTTGGTAACTAGTCGTTGATAACCCGTTGGTAATGTGTTGGGAAAGTATCCGTTGGTGATCCGTTAGAAAAATATCCGTTGGTAGTCCGTTAGAAAATCCGTAAATAAATTGTTAGCTTTCTGTTAGTAATTTACCAACGGAATTATTTTGCAACTACGTTTTCTGTTGAGAATCTGTTGACAATGTCATGGAGCTTTTCCGTTGCAAATCCGTTGATAAGCTGTTGAGAATTTACCAACAGATTGTATTTTCCGTTGGTAAACGTTTAGCAACAAGGCATATAGCAACAAAAATATTTGTTGGTAATCCGTTGGAATTCTGTTGTGAAACTTGATTACCAACGGATTATTCCGTTGGTAAAACATTTCTTGTAGTGACTCGTGATCACCATTTCAGTTCTTTGTTATACAGAATTGGAGGTTATATGTATTAATGTAGTTACAAAATTTTTATTTCCTTTTCTTGCTCTAGTAATATATCTATGTTTTCAAGGATTCTATTTACTTTACAACTCATTTAGTAGAAGGAAAGAATTTGATCCATTATACTTGGTTAAGGAAATTTTTCACCTCCACACCTAAATTTCAATTACAATTTCATCTATCATTTGCACGTTCGATCTATATTATTTGTATTAATTGTTCTAATATAGAATAACGGTTTGTCCTTGATCAGATACATTGGTGTTGGTCTTGTTTAAATTGTTTCTTATCGTCGCCCTCAAAGATGCTTTCTTGGCTCTTGCCAATTTTTGAAGATCAACTTGAGAGGTGTATAGACATAAAAATAAAAATGAAGTGAAAACCGATCCTTTCGATTGGCTGATTTATTAGTCAAGAAATGTATTTTCCCGAAATTCATTTCACCTTTTAATTTTTAGTTAATGTTCGTGTGAGGGATTGAATATTCAACTGGTTGATCTCTCATCTAAAACTGGATTTTCGTGTTTTTCAGATTGGCCTAGGAAAAAAATTTTAGACCTTAGTTCCACATTTCATTTACTGCGCTTCCTGATTCATGCAAGTGGAATTCTGTTTAATTGCTCAACAAAACCTCAATCACCAGAGGAAATAGCTAGTGTACCACAAAATCAGTATAATACACTGTTGACATGCAAAAACTTGAAAAATTAGAGAAGATGGGGGAAAAAGAAAAAACAATACAACACCAAAAANAAGGGAAACTCGTCAAAATCTCTCGTTGAAACTTTAGTTCTTTTTACCTCTATTACGTTTAGAGGCTACCACAGTCCATCCATCATCTAACTTAGGAACACTTGGCTCAGGATTCATAGTGCCCTTTTGGGTGTGATTAGATTGCAATTGTGGATCATCATCAACATCCATCTCCGTTGAATTTTCTCCAACTAGAATATTGTCATCTTCATCATCATCATCATCATCACTATCATCATCATCATTGCTGCCAGACTAGCATAAGAGAAAATGATACTTTTTAAATAAAGCAAATATATGGGTCTCGGCTAAATATTAAGGAAAAGTATATTCAGCGAGTAAAATAAATAGTAGATCGAATAAAACAATTGGAACAAGAAAGCAAATAGCAACACAAAACACTGGCCATTAACATGGAATATATTTCATAAAAATGAAATTACAAATAGAATTGTAGCTACCTGTCTGTTATAAGAGATAGTTGGGACATTTGATTCTCTCAACGTCTTTATGGAGTCAAAATTTCCTTCTAAACATTCTTCACGCATGAACATTAACTTTTCTGCTATCTGCATAAGTTCTTGTTAGAAGGGGATAAAGCGGAACAAAATATACATCAGACAGCATTTAAAAGACTGGCATAAACGCAATATACAGAAAACCTTCACGTAAGCAGTACATTTAAGTTTCTCATTTTGTATATTGAAACTGGAGGACGAAACCCTTCAAATATTCTATCAACTTATACGAGAATTTACAACAAGATTCTCCTACAACTAGCTATAATGATAAGTGATTGTGAATTTTTTTATCAACTGCAGGGCTCACCAACTCCAGATTGTATTACGCATCCAGCTACTAATTTAGACAAGTTGGATCTTAAATCTTAGATATTGAATCCCCATTAAAAGTAAAAAGTAGTAAAGATGTATGTGTTCCTCCCCATTCTGGATCAATCATTTGACTTTGAGAACCCATAATAGCAATCTCAAGGGCCAACTACAAGGCTAGAAATGATGAACTCTAGAATACTACCACTCTTACTGCATAACCTTATTTTTTTAACCATTTACAACAAGTGCATTTGAAAGGGTCTAACATTTATATATTATATTGGGAATGTTGCGATTTCATTTTATAAACATAAGAAAGTGTGATATATGGTCTAGACTGAAGATAATCTGCATCATAAACCTTTAGTTCCAGCTCGAAATATTAAACATTATAATAGATGACAAAGTAGAACAAACTCAGTTAATGTGTACTAACCATTCATACATAAAAGGATTACAACAAGTTGAATAAAATCACATAAAGCTAGCTAAAGTTCACCACCAGCAAGAGCTAAGTATAAACATCTCAAATGAAATGAACATTTGTAGGATTGGAAAACCTAAATGCTCACAAATGTCCAAAATAAACCCCTAAATTATTTAGCCTCAAAGATTGAATCTTCAGTTCCAGTTAAGAATTTCAAGACTGGAGATATCAGAGGGATAATACCTCCTCAATGCTGCCATCTCCAATCTCAGTGTTTAATGAAAGCATGAAGTCGTCAAGCATATCCTCTATATCATCAATGTACACTTGTTCTGCAATTATAGAACAAAAAAAATAAAAAACTAACACAGCATTAGCCAACTCTAAGAACAAAAGAGAAACATATACAAGAATCAATTTTCTTCTAAATTCTGACTCCCTCAATCATTAAAACTTATGTTTATCAACATAAAAACACGAACAAAATCTCGTTAAAAAAACAAAAGCTAGAAAATTCACAATCAGCATAAAGTGCAGGATTTACAAGCATATCAGAGAACTTGTTTAAAGAGATTGCAAGTAGGACAAATACAAAACCTTTTGCTTGAGTGAGGCGATGAAAGATACTCAACTCGAGCTGCTGAGATTTGTGGAGCGAGTCACGGCCGCCCCACTCGTTCTCGACGGCCATGCGAAGGGCGGCCCATCGAGAAAACAGCAAATGAATCCCCTCTTGCAGCTGCGCCGCCGCCTCCGTCGTCAGAGTAGGGTTCATTTCCGCTTGATTTTTTTATTTTTTTATTCTTTCTCTGACAGATTTGGTTCGACGAAATTTGAGGAAGCGTTTTGGAGACGAAACATGGCCAATGAAATGGGCTGTAGCGGGCTGGTCTTTGGTGGTATGTGCACTATGTATTGGGCCTGGGATGGCCCAGCTGAACGTGGCCTGTTGAGAAACAATCGTATGACTAGACAAACAATATGGAATAGATGTGATCCTACGGTGAGTGTCCTCGTTGAAATTTTGATGGTTAGATCACACACACCCAAGTATGTATATATGCATGATCGAACAATAAAAAAAATCAGGTTAGGGATCTGCCTTCACAGGTAGGCACGAATTATTTGTTTGGAGGATGTTTTTTTTTTTCTTTAACCGACAGTATAGTCCAGAGGCATGTTCAATTACACAAATTTTTGTGTGAGATTGCTTAATCGTTAGACGGGTCAATTCGTCTACTTTATAGACAAGAATACATATTTATACTATCAAATGTCATAGTTTAAGTAAAAAATGAGTACATAAAAATAAAGAGAGATGGGTGGCTAATCCTCTACAAAGCCCAAGTTCAGGGTGGCTAATCGCCTACAAAACCTAAATGCGGGTGCCTATTCCTCTACAAAGCCCTTGATTTTTGGATGTTGGTGTGGTTGTTGTCGCAGTTGTGTTGGGAGAGGTGATATTGACGGGTCCCAGAGCAGTTTTCTGGGGGTGGCTCACATGAAAGTAGGATTCGGATTTGCTAATACAGGTCGAGTTAGCCTTAGTCTTCTGACTGTCGGAGTTTGGAGTTTCGAGATCGAGACTTGTATCGGTGGTTTGATCTTGCTTTTTTCGAGCTATCTTCGGTTATCTTTCGCTAGGTAAGGTGTTCGTTTCTTGTCGGCAGTTAAGAGGGCTTTATTCTATTGTATAGTTTAGGTATGAGTTGTTGTTTTTTGCTTGTTTTTCTTTTTGTATTTGTGTTTCAGTCCAGTTGTGTCTGGATTTTAGTCTCCTTTATTGAGCTTTCTATCTCCTTTGTGGAGTTTTTATTTTGTTTGCGGGTGCTTCTACCTCCTTAGTTGCTTGTGTAATTTCAAGGGGGTTGATCCATACGTTGCTCTGATTCCAGTTGTAGGTGTACTCTTTTTGAGTTTATAATATATTTATCTTTTTGAAAAAAAAAAAACAATTAACGTGCAATTTATTTATTTATTTTCTCTTTCATCGACTGGTGAAGTAGTAAATACAACCTACGGTCATTGTATGCCAGATCTGCTCTCCTACCCATGGTGGGCAGGAAATTAATATGCTCACTGCTTATGTGGCATGTACACATTGGGCATATTAATTCTCTCTCACTGTTTATGCCCAATGTGTACATGCCACATAAGCAGTTGACATATTAATTCCCTGCCTACCGTAGGGGAGCAGATCCCCATTGTATGCACCCAGGTTGTGAATGTAACAATAATGTAGTGAATATTCTTGCTGAGGGAGACAAAGCAAAAGTTAGTTGGACCATATAAAACCCACACCAACAACATTCTAAATTCACCCAACCCAGCTATAAAAAAAATCACAAGTACCAAAAAAGAAGCAAATGCCATTAAAATTGGCTGTCCAAAAAATTATTAGAGCAAACTGAAAAACCAGACAGAATATTATCAAACAATAACAATGCCAAAGATACATATTCATCTTTGCATCTAACTGCAGATGCAAAATCACCACCAAAGAACCCTCTTTCTTAACCTACTCATCAATAATCATCAAATCAAACACACCCTCAACTTTAATCTTCCCATAAAGATTAAATANCACCACCAAATTACACACACACACAAACACACAACCATCCTAACAACAACAAATTGGGCACACAATCAACCCATTCTCATTACATTTCCCACACTTAACACTCTTCCTCCCATCATCCCCCAACAGCTTACAACTCCCACTGCACTCATAACACATCACAAACCTAACCCCGGCACAACCCTTGCAGCCTGCGGGCCTGGCCCGCGGAACCCCCCTTAGCAAAACCCCCAATTTTCCCTCCTCATCGAGCCTCGCCACCTCATCCGACCCGCCAATCAATCTCCCCTTCACGAACACTAACGGCACCCGAACCTCCTTCGAGCCCACTAGCCCCCTCAACTCCTCCTTAAAGCCCGAATCCATAGATATGTCGCGTTCGAGCACTTGCACTCCGTGGGCCCCGACAATCGAACGGGCCGCATTGCAATCCTCAAAAGTCTTTCGTATGCCCCTCAAAGTAGTCGTGTAGAGAACAACCGCGTTTTGGCCGCCAGGCGGGCAATTTTTCTTGTAAGACTCGAGAATGGCTTCGGATTCGCGCAAAGCTTTCGACTTTTTCGGGCTTTGATTCTCCAAAATCATTCTCTTGATCTCTTCTTCCTCTTCGGATACCTCCCTTTCGAACTCGGCCAAGAGTTCCGGGTCGAACAACGGGCCAAGAATCTTCCTTCCGGACAAGAACCTTAAACTCTCGGATCTTTTAACACTTGGGCTTCCTTTGATCGAGGCCCACAGTCTCGGGGAAGGCTTCTTCGGGCCCTCCTTCGAATTATTAAAGTTTGAATCTTTGAGAATTATTGCTTTCGGGCTATTTTCAGTCGAGCCCGAGTTGTTCGCCCGGCCTATATTCTCCTTGCCGGCGAATTTTTTTGACTTTCTTGGGGACCCCACTTGGCTCAAGAACTTCATCGGGCTTCTGGGCTCGATTCCCGTTAGGCTGCGGGTTAAAGGCCCGGACTTTAGGCTTTTTCGGCCCGGAATTAGTTCGTCCTCGAGGCCCGCCATAAGCTCCCACGCGTTGATGATCTCTGCCGGAGGATCTCGAAAAGGCGACATTTTCTGGGCCTCGATGGAAATCCGGCTAGTTGTCTCCGGTTGGTTTCTGTGCGGTGACTGGTTTTTCTTCTCCTTGTCGAGGCGGAGGACGCCATAAGTGCTTGAGGTGAGGGAAACGACGTGGTGAGAAAAACTGTCGCCATTTTTGGGTGATTTTGGTCCTTCGATTTGTTTGTTCTTTAATTTTGATGGGACACAACCCATTTGGGTTTTCTTGATTTTGGTGTGTTTGAATGAAAATGGTTTTGCTCTGTTTCTAACATGGTAAGAAAGCCGTTTGTAAGGAAAGGACAGAGGCTAACGGTCAAAATATTTGAATTGGGTGTGAAATTCCCAACAAGTCTTATTCCTTTGTTTTTTTCTCTTTATTTGTAAAATTGGTCATTGTGAAGAGATTCGAGAATAACGAAGTAAGGTCAAAGGAAAATTACAGTATTGGACTTGTAAAACGTAAAAAGCATAACAAACAAAACAAAACAAAAAGGTTTGTCCAAAATACAATTTAGACGCAATTAATGCCGTCAAAACTAGGAAAATAGGATAAATGATACCAAGAAATTTTGGTCAACGACAAGAGTGTGAAATGTAAATCCTTTTGCCCTACATTTTTTTGTGCTGATGATTTTTTGCCGTGTTTGATATGGAGAAGTTTTGGTTATTTTTTTATTATGATTCTCAATTATTTAATAATAAATTGAGTTATGTTAATGTATTGTTGAATTGATCTAGCTATATAGTGATTTTTCCTTGTGTTATGGAATTTTTTTTGCTATTTTGGTATTTTTTTTATTTTTTATTTTTTGTAGTTGGTGTAATCGAGTCTAAGATATCCTAGCAATTTATATAGATAGACAGAACTATAAACATTAGCTACATGTTATGTTAAAATAAGAATGATGTTAAACCGACTTTTAACTGTTTTACAGACATATTTTTTTAATAAATAAATACATTTTATTAAAATGTCATACATTACAAACACAGTATAAATAAAAGTATGATATTTTATTATATAAGTATTATATACTTATATATTATTATATAAGTATTATAATTGCGAAGGTAGACAAGTCATGCCCCACGCAAATAGACATAAATGGTTAATGGAATCTAAAAGTAAGATGTGACATATGAAATTATGAACCCTTAAAAATAATGCAATCGAACAATCACAATATATTGTTGCAAAGATTTCATGACCTCCCCGTAAGAGACCACTAGGGTTGTTTCTTTTATTTAAAAATGTTTTAATAATGCTTTTTGTCCCACTATATATATATTAAATTAGGTGAATATGTTGAAAAATCACAATAGTATATAGTTACATGAAGTTGATGAAACCACGTGGGTGAGATTCAATATACAATTTTAAAAATAAAAATAAAAATTGTGGTATTGAACAAAACTATGGAACGAAAAAGAATAGAAGTAAAAGAATGTTTTCAGGGATATTATATTTTGAGATTGTAAATAAAATAAAATAAATATAATAATTAAAGGTTATTTCATACAAAAAATAATAAACATATGTCGTGGGAAGTAGTTGGAAAATTTGCTAGTTGACGACAATATCTTTTAATGAATATATTGTAATAGCTAATCTTTCAATTGTATTAATGAAAGTGTGGAAAAAAATGTGATTGTAAATTAATAGCGTATTTTTTTTTTTCGAGTTTTCCCTGTATATTGATCTCATGACCAAGCACACTTACCTGATGAAATTTTACCAAAAAATTAATGAAAAATGGGTCCCAAAAATTAGAAGCCGCAATGATTTAGGTTAGGAGGTGGCTCATCGTACAAAAACACTTTCAAATCCAACCTCACACATAGTAGTGGTGGGATGCTGCTTAAAATGTAAAATCAATGAATTTTGGATTTGTGGAGAAATGGCCCCATTATTGATTTATTGTGACAGTTACATATACAAGTTTTTATTTTATTTTCTAATTTGAGGTATAATTATAGAACAAATTCTTTTTAAGAAAAAAAAAATTCAAATTATGTAATAATTAAAATCAACACGTTAAAAATGATGAAATATTAATTAGTAATGGTTGATAATAAAAAATGTAAGTGGTTACCAGATGTATAGTATTTTTTGTAAAAAAGAATAATAATGAAATTTTAAAATTTTAAATCATGTAATTGAATTAAAAGAATATTATATGTATTTTGCCATTTCTTTTATCATAATCCAATTTTAATCTACTAATATATAAAGAGGGAATGATAGTTGTTTGAAAAAATCAAGTAAAAAATCAGCCAAAAAAAAAAAAGATTTCAATTCCCGCCTAAAGTTTAGCATAATTTTTGGCGAAAAAATAAATAAGCCCGCCAGTAATGAATTCAAATTTTTTGAAGATTTTATTTATTAATTTTAATCTATTTGGACTTATCTATTTCTACAATCAGATTTTTTTAATCCAAATTTTGAAAGAAAAATCCGCATCCTCAGGAGAAAAAATAGGAAATATAATCTCTCGAATTAATTCCTCGCTTCTTTTTTTTTTTCCTCTCTCTTTTTCTTNGTCCAAAGGCGACAATCCCTGCTGGTAATTTGATTTTTTTTTTTTTTCCAAAACGATAATAAAATTCTCATAAAACACAAAACAAGAGTTTGATACAATCGTAGGACTCACTAGTCCCATAGACTAATAGAAACTAAATATTAGGGAACACATTCCCAATCAACATATCAATAAAAAGCCTACTACAAATTCTACTAACTCAACTAACAGCACCTACTACTAATATAAAATTAGCCACCTGATAAACTACTTAATACTAGTAGCTGGAAGCAGCAACCAAGCTGGGACTTCTAGCTGAACTCTGACTTCCATCACCCTGTAGAACACACACAATACTTTTCAAAGCATAAGTATAATGCAAGAACCTGTACCACTGAACCATAGGACCTAGTACCAGTTTTTTGCACCACACCCTACTCATTCCTTGCAGTTGTAAACTCCATCCACTCCCTCCAAGCTGAGATAGTTACCATCATTTCAGGCATCTTTATCTGTTGAAACTTCCACAAGTTGTGAGTTTTCCACAGCCACTACAACAAATATGTGGTGAGCTGTATTCTATCTTCGGAGATTGGTTGTCTATTCAAAGAACAAATATTTCCCCACCACATTCTGAAACTCACTGATTGATCTTCCAAGCCTTCCCATGACAGTGGTGCAATTTTCCAGATCCTTTGGGCTCTACTACAATGCAGCAGAATATGCTCGATTGTTTCATCTCCTTCCCCACAGCTATGGCAAATAGTATCGACTTTGACTCCTTTTTTCCTCAAATTGCAGCTAGTTGGGAGGGTATGATTCACACACTTCCATAAGAAGTGTTTGAGTTTCCCCTTCAGTTTCACATTCTAGCTCCTCCTTCTCACCATCTTATTCCACTCAGCTGCATTACTACTTTCTGCCACATCAAGATCCTCCAGTTTTTTCTGTATGATACTGTGATATGTTTTGCTCACAGAAAATATGCCTTTAGGATTTAATGTCCAAATCCACCTGTCTTTCATGCTTTGATTCAGACTGTTAATCTCCAGTATAGCCTTCACATCTTCCTCAATGAAAAGCTCCTGCAGCAACTCTCTATCCCAGCTATCTCTCCCCACAGTCTTCAATTGATTCACAGTTTTCAGATTACTGCTTACTCCTCTTTTCAGCTGAGGTTTACCAGAATGATGATTGGGAATCCATGGATCAGAAAATATATTTGTTGATATTCCATCCCTTATCTGGATTCTGAAATGTTGCCTATACCTGTCCCTCACTATTATCCAATTCAGCCATAACCAAGATCCGGAAGAGTTCATGTTAGCCTTTTTCCTTAGGTAATGCCAAACCACTCCAAGCTTTCCAGTGTAACCCAGCTTTATTCCCCAACCCCTTACTCCACCAGAAATTTGCAGTGAGTTTTGTGATTTCCTTACAAGTACCAACAGGTATGCAAAAACATGACATAGAAAAAATAGGTAGGGCATCAATGACAGCTTTAATCAACACTTCTTTGCCAGCATCAAATAAAAAATTAGCCTTCCAGTTCAGCAACCTCTTCCTCACAGCTTCCACAATATAATCAAAGACCTCTAATTTAGACCTTCCAATCCCCAATGGCAATCCCAAATATCTGGAAGATCTTTGAACTTGAATTCCCATCTTGCCCCGGTGCTTTCCCTGGATCCAGATCAAATAAAGCTTCTTTAATCTCTTCTTCAGTGACAGGGGCCACCAGCTCCTCATTGATTTGAACTGATATAGTCTCAGGTACCAAGTGCAGAATATCTTCAGCATCCGAGGACCCCTCTGTTGTAAAGAGTTGTCCGTAGTAATGGCACACACACTTTTCAATTTCCTCCAGGTCCTCAAAAAACTCCCCTTCACTCCCTTGGAGTCTGCTAATTGTATTGGTCTGTCTTCTCTGAATTGTAAGTGCATGAAAGTACTTTGTATTAGAGTCACCTTCCTTTAGCCACAAAATCCTGGATTTCTGCTTCCAATAGGCTTCCTCTCTCGAGTTCAGTCTATCCAAGGAGATTTTCAATGTTTCCCACTCAGCCCAATCTCGCTCTACTCCTTGCTGGCTTAGGATTTCCAGCTTTGCAGTGACTCTTTTTTTTTTCCTCAACCTCCTCAGCTCTAAATCCTTTACTCCACTTTAACAAGGCCAATCTGACTTCTTTGATTTTCTCAAAGACTTGGTGCATTAGAGAGCCTGTTTTAGAAATGTCCCAAGCTTTTGTAATAACAGCTTTTACTCCATCTCTCTTCAACCATCGTTTATCAAAGAAAAACCTTCTATGCTTTGGTCTTGCCACTTCAGGGGAATCAGTTAGCACCAGTATTCTGTGATCAGACGCACTCAAGAAGTAATTATGGACCACTGCCTGTGTTTTAGTCACACCCCAGTCAAAGGAACAAAAGACTCTATCAATTTTTGCCTCAATAAAACCTTCTTGGTCTCTGTTGTTTGCCCAGGTGTACTGATGTCCCTGTTGTTGAAGTTCATGCATTTCCATTCTTGCCACAAAATCATTAAACTCCCTGAAGTCTCTCATGGCTTTCAATCTTCCCCATTTTTTATCCTCCGGATCTCTGATAGCATTCCAATATCCTCCCACCAGCCAATTACTGCCCCATTTCTCCTTAGCTTCTTCCAAAATCTGCCACTGCTCTTCCCTCACTCTCTTATCCACACTGATATAGACAAAAGTTAACCACAATGACTGGCCATCAGGAGGAACAACCACTTCCACTTCAAAACAGAATACATGCTCCACAATTTGTTTAATCACCACATCTGAATTCCAAAGCAACAATAGACCCCCACTCAAACCCTATGGATCCACAGCTCGCCACCTATCTTTAAACCCTATTTTTTTACATACAGAATATACAAAATCTTTCTTTTTTTTTTTGTTTCTGAAATAAAAGTAAAACTAGGATGGTGAAGTCTAGTTGACTCCTTAATTTGGGAAACTGTAGAGGGTCCACCCAACCCTCTACAGTTCCACCACATTAGCTTCATTTGGAAACTGGGGCTCATTTAAGGCTGGCCACCTCCACTGTAGGCATTCTTTTCTGTGGTACAACACAGGTTGGAGATTCTTGCATCATGGTCTTCTGTACTACCTTTGCATCTTTGCCAGTGATTCTTCTCCAGCCTTTAGCTTTATGAGATTGCCTTTTATCCTTGTCAACCTCCTCAACTATTATCTGAGCTGGACCAGGTTTCATTCCTCTTAAATCTTCCATCTCCATTTCTTAATCTGTCTCCCTATCCTGCTCCTCTTCTTCTAATTTTTTCAGCTGTCTCTGCTCCTTCGGCTGTTGGACAAGTATTTCCTTAGATGTTCCTACTCCTTCCACTAAACATCCTTGGTATACTACTACTTCCTTCTGATTCCCCTCCTTTCCTTCAATCTGTTCCTGCCTGTCCACTATTTTGCTCCCAGAAGCTTGGTTCCCTACAGATTTCTCAGTTGTGACAGGATCTGGTGATTGCTGAGGTTGTGGATCATCTGCATACTGGCTATTTTGGTTACTCATTGGCATCGATCGTGCTCCTGTATTACCCTCCAATGCCTTCATCCAGTCCCCAAATAGTCCCTCTTTCAGTTCCCCTTTAGAGATATCTTGAACCCTTTTTGTACACCCTCTCTCCAAGTGCCCAAGCACCCCACAGTAATGGTAGAGATTTACTAATCTCTCATACTGAAACATGACTTGTTGTTGGTTGTTGTGAAGTTTAATATTAGCACATCTGGGCAGTGATTTATTCACATCAACAACTACCAGCAGCCTCAGGTAGCTCCCTCTGGCACCTCCAGCTTTAACCACATTGACATTATGAACTTGTGAGAAAATCTTTCCTATCTTCATTCCCATCTCTGAGCAGAGCCAGTTTATTGGGATATTGTTAACTTGCACCCATAGCCTCAGTTCAGAAAAGGCTTTGTGTTTCTCATTCATTCCTTCTTCCCACTCCCTTAGGATGAGATATTGGTTCTCAAAGATCCAGTTAACTCCCGACGCCACTTTCTTTTTATCTTCCACACTACCAAACAGAAATTGAAAAAAATTGCTTCTTAGTTCCTTTACCTCAACCTACTGACTTATTTGCCAGATGATGCTCATCGTTCTCCTTATTCCCATTAAGCTCGCCTTTCGATCGCCAATGATTTTGCCAAACAGGCTGCAATTACACTCCTCCGCACTGATTTTGATATCTGCATCTTGAAGTTCGATCACATTAGTCTCCATGTCCGATAAATCAATTCCCTTGAGTTTTGCTCCCAATTCGTCAGTAATATTTGGTTCATTATTGTGCCTTACTTCGTCCGCTTCCATACTAACCTTTTATCTTACTCACCAAGATCTTTAGGTAACAGAACTCACCTCCCAATCCCTCTCATATAGTCTCACAATATCAATTAAAATGAACAGATAAGAAACAATAGCAAAAGNTTTTGCTCATTTAAGAAGTTTTTTTTTTATATGAAGTAGGTGAAGACGTCGGAGGAGTACCGGAGTATGATCGTCATGGTCGACTTAGGTAGCGACTGGAGGGTCAACTTCAAAGACTTTCGGCAGATGATGATGTGTCGCGGGTTTGTCAGGGTAAATTTGTTGTTTTTTTTAATATTTTTTTTTTTTGTTTTGATGTGAAAATTGCAATTGCCAATTGGTTGGTGTAATTAATGGATTTTGATTCTTGCCTCCATTTTTTAATTGGGCTGAGAAATAACGTATGTTTTTTTATCTGCAAATTGGTGCTGGAAGGTTTCTGGAGAGGACGAAGGGCAGGGGTTTCGTTATAAATAAGGATGGATTTAGGCATAAATTGGCTGAAGAGTTTCGACGCAGAAAAGGTGACTTGATGGTTCATGGTGAAACTGAAGAATCTGTCATTGCCTCTATCATATTTCAGGTCACCTCAATTCAGGATTTGAGAAAGTTCTGTTACATTTTATCTGTTTGGTTAAGATTATTGTTCGATTTTTTATTTGTATTTTTTTGGTTATGCTATGGAGATTAGGGTTCAGTGGGTCTGTAGATGCTGCGTCGTTGTTGGAATTTGTCGATGTTGGTCATGATTTGATTCTTGTTGTTGATGCATCAGTGTCTTAATTGATTTGGAGATTGCTGTTGAGTACATGGTAGACTTTGATGAGGTGGGATTCGGTCGGTTTATGAGCTTCTATTTGTGCTTTTGTTATTGATTTGGAAAAAATGTTGATTTGTTTCTGTATCTTAAAAGATGTTAATTAATGTGAAGTGTTTACCCATAGGATCCAGCAGCTCTGGTGATTAATCACACGAGCTATGCAGTTTCAGAGACTGAAGGGGATCATACTTTGATGGCTAGTGGTCATTTAATTCAGTCTGAGGCTATTCTGGGCAGCCTAAAAATCGAGGTAATACTTTTTTATTTTTTTTGGTAGTTCTCTGAAGGAGCTGTTCAGCTGCATCAATAGCTCGCACCAACATGACATAGCTATAGCCTGAAATTATGTTCTTTTATGTGTTCGTAGCTTTGTTATTGTTCCTTAATGTGATTTTGTTATGTTATCCGTCTCAAATTTATCTGCAGGTTCCACATTGGTTGACATATGAAATGGTCGAGCACATAAATGGTCGACCCCACCCCTTACCTCTTTATTTTGACTCATTTGCAATGCTTTTTAAGATATGATTCTTGGGGTTTCTGTTTTCCGTGTGGACTTCACATAGCAAGATGCACTAAGGCACCAATCAAACTGATCAAGAGTGTGGACTTATCAACTGGTCTACTTTAGCCTTCCTCAAAGAGCCCAGGATACCACAAAAACCACACCATGATACCCGAATATTAATATGAACTATATCAATAGCTTGATCAGTTTGATTGGTGCCTTAGTGCATCTTGCTATGTGAAGTCCACACGGAAAACAGAAACCCCAAGAATCGTATCTTAAAAAGCATTGCAAATGAGTCAAAATAAAGAGGTAAGGGGTGGGCTCGACCATTTATGTGCTCGACCATTTCATATGTCAACCATATGGAACCTGCAGATAAATTTGAGACGGATAACATAACAAAATCACATTAAGGAACAATAACAAAGCTACGAACACATAAAAGAACATAATTTCAGGCTATAGCTATGTCATATTGGTGCGAGCTATTGATGCAGCTGAACAGCTCCTTCAGAGAACTACAAAAAAAAATAAAAAAGTATTACCTCGATTTTTAGGCTGCCCAGAATAGCCTCAGACTGAATTAAATGACCGCTAGCCATCAAAATATGATCCCCTTCAGTCTTTGAAACTGCATAGCTCGTGTGATTAATCACCAGAGCTGCTGGATCCTATGGGTAAACACTTCACATTAATTAACATCTTTTAAGATACAGAAACAAATCAACATTTTTTCCAAATCAATAACAAAAGCACAAATAGAAGCTCATAAACCAACCGAATCCCACCTTGGGCTCTCAGCGAGCCGTGGCAAAGTCAGCTTAGCCTTTCTCCGGTCAGCTGAAATAGCTTATCGAGAATTGAGAAATGTGGATGAGATGTGTAGGTGATTTGAAAGCGAGAGACTCACTAGAGGAACCACTAGGAGCGTAAGAGAGCAAAGTGAGACTAACAGAACGAAGCGAAGTGAAGTCAAATGTTATATTGATGATTTCTGTTAAATCCAGACTAGAGAAACTCGATAACCGTATGGAGAACTCAAAGGAGTATGTGCTTAATAGACTTTCTATGATCACGAAATGTGTGGTTTGAGGGGTTCAATTGTCTGACTTTTTTGAATTATAGGGCCATTCGGAGATCTATTGTGATTTGACGGTGACAAGCGGTCTTTCATATATCTATCACTAAACTATGGAATGAGTGCTCTGAAAATGAGGTCTAGCATAATGGCACATTTATTAGCCAACAATCAATTATTTTTGCATTCTTTTATTGCACTTTGTGTTACCATCCTCTGTTCGAAGAATCACTCAAACATTGATTTGCAATGAAATTTTCAAAGATTGATAAGGAGTCTTTTATTGAATGCAGTTTTTCCTTGTGTATTTGTTGCATTATCAATATTTTATAAAGCTTCGTATTGACACTTCGCTTTCTGTATAATATAGTGTGTCTGTCTGAAACAAGTGTTTGTAACTCTTTAGATTTCTTCTGAATTTATTGGAAATGACGAAGAGGTCAATCTTTTTGGCTATAGAACTAAAAAGCCCGAGTTTAGACAGTGGTCGTTGATGTAGAGTCAAGAGTCAGTTTTTTCCCATTCCTTGAAAAATAAAACGCCCTTGATTGAGATCTTTAACACATCATGTTGATTGATTATTATATTACTGTGTTTTTTTCTTTTGATTTTTTTATTTTTTTTGCTTTGCGGGCAGTGGATTTCAAGAAGCCCATTTATTTGGAAGTTTTGAATGTTTTCTCTTTATATCTTGGACTAAGTTGTTGAATTTTTGTGTGCCTGTAAGATCTAATGTTTTCTGCAGATTGCTAGGTCATTGCATTTTGTCTAACTTGGTACATGAGTTCGTTTCATATCAAAATATTGTGGGCTTATTTTATATAATTCCCCACAGGGTCTTTATTATACAACTTTCAAGGTTATGGTGTTTTCAATTCAATGGTGTTTTCAATTCAAGGTTGAGTATCAGAGAATTGGGTACACAAGCGTAAGCCCATCGCGACATGTATGAGATAATCTAATATGAAATAGATGAAGAGATTCACTCTATTTTACCTCAATGTTTTGTACGTATGAGATTAATGACAATAATCTGAGTTCAATATGAGAAAGAGGCAATGCGTTTTTGGTTTGTCGTTTTGGGTTGGGGATTTCTTAAAGAAATTTGGGCTATTCTGTGTTGATTGTACTTTGTTGAGTCCTTAGTTATTCCCACATTAGTTAGTTGAATGTTATATTATATCTATATCTTTTAATTTATCCATTAATATATAAAACAATAAATAATTTATTTAAAATAGTAATTAAATTCCTGCCTACATAATTTGAAATTACTGAATTTGGATTTTTTTTTTTTAATAATCAAGCCTTTATTTGAGTTTGAAATCCAAAAATTCAAAATATTTTTATCCTATCACACTGATTCATTTCTGTATTTATATAACTAAGAACCATATATATCTGATAAAAAATCCATATATGTGGATTAATCATATAATATAATTTATGGTAGATAACAATTTTATATTATGTTGTCTCTTACGTCTAAATAAATTATACTAATTAAATCGTATAACAAAGTCATATAGATTTTATGGAATCACACAAGTAGTCACATAGATTTTTAAATATATTACACAAGTTTACCAAAGTAATTATTTTATGGATTCACATTGTAGTCATTAAATTTTTTAATAAAAATTTTAAAATAACATTATTTTGAAATGAATATAATGTAACTTTTAATATACATGTTTTATGTAATTTTTCACAATTTAAATTTCTCATAAAATTTTCAATAAATTAATATAGGTAAATTGTGTTGCATATAGATTTTTGTGTGAAATGCAATGTTCATTTTTTTAGCATGATAAAGACTATTGATTTTTTGGCATAAAAAATATTATGACTGATTGTTTTTACTCAACTACTTAAATTTTATTATTTGGATATTTTATACAAAAATAAATTCATTTTAATTAAATAATATAAGTTTTATATTGATACTTATTATTCACATAGATTTTTGAATATATGATAAAATTTTACCAAAATAATTATTTTATGGAATCACATTATAGTCAAATCGAATTTGTGAATAAAATTTTTGAAATGATACATATTTTAAAATGAATATAATGTAATTTATTATCAGTTATATGCAATGCACGGGATATGTACTAATTTTAAATAGACATTTTTATGTAATTTTACACCATTTAAATTTTATATAACACTTTCAATAAATTATATAGGTACATTGTATTATTGGATATTTTATACAAAAATAAATTCATTTTAATTAATGAAATATTATAATTTTAAATTTATACTTATTATTCACATAGGTTTTTATATATATGATAAAATTTTACCAAACTAATTAATTTATGGAATCACATTACAGTCAAATCGAATTTCTGTATAAAAATGTTGAAATGACACTTATTTTGAAACGAATATAATGTAATTTATTATTAGTTATGTGCACCGCACGAGTTGTGTATTAATTTTAAATAGACATTTTTATGTAATATTGTAATTTAAATTCTATATAACATTTTCAATAAATTAATATAGGTAAATTGTATTAAATATTGATTCCATATTTTTAATTTATAAATATTAGTTAATGAGAATTTTTAATTTATAAATATTAACGACTATATCTTACTCGTGCATCGCACGGGATTCATACTAGTTAATTAAGTAAACATTGTGCGATCAAACGAAGCCAAATCTAATCATCATTTCTATTTTCCTATATATGTTTGGACTTTCTATTTCCGTAAAAATAATAATTAAAATCTCTCTCTCTATTCTTTTTGCTGTAATCTCAAAAAGGGAAAAAACGAGAAAAGAAAAGAGAGGTTAGAATGTGCTGAAGCCTGAAAGGGTTGTTAAACAAAGTGAACTCGACTCGACTTGTTTGATAAACGAGCTGAATTCGAACTTGTTTTGTTAACGAGTCAGACTCGACTCAGCTGAAAAAGACTCGTTAAAGTTCGAAAAAAGTAATTTTATATAATACATATAGTTTCGCTCGTTAAAACTCGAGATCTATTCCTTAAATTGATAAATGAGCCAAGCTTGAGATCGATTTTTGGCTCGTTTACTTAACGACTCAAGCTGGGCTCGACTCTTTAAGGACTCGAGCTCGAGCACCCTAAGCTCAAGCTTGGATCGGCTCATTTACAACCCTTTATGTGCAAATGAATTGAAACATTACTATTTATTAAAAATGAAGTAACATAATCACGAAAACAGATAGATATGGTAAATAGCAGTGCTATTAAAACCAAAAGGAAAAATGAGTGTTGGTTCATTTCTCATACACACACACACACACACTAAATTACAAGTTACCACCATATCATTTCAAGAGCAATGAACATCCAACTACATTCATTGGACTTTTGAAGAGAACAAAAATTGTTTCAATAAGTTTGATTTTTCATGATTTTGTTTCTAATTGGTTGTGGCATATGTTGGTTACAGGTTTCCCAGGAAGAAATGAGTAAGACCAGCTTAACTCATCTGTCCACAGTATAAACTGAACACAAAGATCAAATTGGTTTCCTTATATATAAACAACAGCTCTTACACATACACCAATATTCGTATATTTAATGAAAACTATCTATTTCAATATGTGTGGATTAAAAGCTTTTGTTACTTCCATAAATATGCATGTTGCAAAGTAGATGTAAGGTCCAAGAAGCCAGCATCTATCAAAGAAGTCCATCACTCGTCATCTGTCAAAGAGCATAAGTTGCCCGTAGATATTCAATGATATCTGCACTCTCAAACATTTGAACCCCAGTGTTTGGATCTTCTAAATAAGGAACCTGTTTTTCAATATATATATATATATATATATATATATATTTTATTTTTTTTTAAAAGTTATAAAACGGGAGGCACTTGTCAATTGACAAACACAACAAAATCATCGAACATTTTCATTTTTTAAAAGAAAAAACAACCTTTGAAACATGAAAGTTGTACCTGAAAATGGCCGACTCTTTGATAAAGTACGTTCCTTTTAGCACTCCCACGTGCACAACTGCAAAGGCAGAATTTGTCAAAGAAAATAATTGCAACAAAAAGAGAGCGCCTTTGTGCAGGGCATACAAATGAATTTATCTTGAGTACAAATTTCATTTTTTCTTTCCCTTTTTTTCTTGGTTATGTATTTGCAGACTGAATAGTGACTTAGAGCAGGTTTTAGGAGAAAGCATTTATGACCACTACACTACTAATAGTTTGTGATACTTCTAATCTCAAATGAGAATAAACAATTTGAAATAGAATTTATACTATACCTGTGGAGTATGTGTGGTAGCTCTAACTCCACAAGTACTTCGCGCACGACCTTGCAAAATGGTGAAGCCTGAACAGAATATAAGTTGTGTCATGTATACAGGCAATAAACGTAGTAATTATTTATTACATGCATAAGATTTGAGATGAGATTAAATAATGACCAATATTACTTGACTTATTATGTCTAAATTGACATTTTAAGAAGAGTTATCTTAATGAGAAGCTGGGAAACATAGGAACAAGTTTAAGGTAACGAGAGTCTAACCTCATAAGCCCAAATTTCGAGAGGCTTAGGAGGCAATTTAGATGCAGTATAGAACGAACCCTGCATATTATGATTGGCATAGCATCATGGAAAAGGAATAAAAAGTATATAACACCAAAAGCCTATTTACCAGTCCAGACCCAATTTTCTGAAAAGAATCTAAAACTTATGCCACTCACAAAATCAATTAAATTGAGATTATCTTGAGAGAAACTATACCTTCCCCATTCGACCAATCATGGCAAGTCCCTCCGTTAAAGTCTATAAGGAAAATGAAGGTGGGTAGTCAAAAAGATATTTGTCAACAAATATGTTACTTTGATAATATGGGGTGACTTCAAAATTAAACTGCTTACAGTTAAAAGACCAAGAGACAGCAGGAGGGGAACATTGCCATCGCCTGAAAAACAATTAGCATAATAAATGTTAAAGTTGCTAGATTGACAAAGCTTAAAATTGTAATATTAAGACTTGATTATTTTGAAATTTACATATGGAATTACTAGGCTAGTGGCTACACATTTTCACTGTGCTTGATTAAATATTAAACTGAAAAACAAAATAAGCAGCTAAACACCAGGTTCAACAACTTTACCATAATTCTTGACCAAATACTTTATTATGTCATCTGATTCGTACATAGAAACTCCTGTGTTTGGATCCACCTAAAGCAGATTAGAGTGAGTAGTAAGATGAGCGATAAAGATTTGACAGAACTTAGAATAAGACATATTCACGTTGGCAAAAAATAGAAAAATTTGATTATACATTTCACATTTCATATTGATCAATACCCGAGTCACAAACCACCATGTTAATTGTCATGGAAAGTTAACATGCATCAATCAATTGTTATCTCAATACTAAATATAATTTCCTTCTTGGTTAAATATCAGTTTTTTTCCTTTTTTTAATGCCACGTGCATTCTTTATTAATATTTCTTCTTCCGAATATTTTTGGTTGCTTGACAACGAAAACTTAATTAGCATCACTCATCAAAGTTAATCATTTTCCAGATTACCCTGAAAAGAAAAAATTATTGCAACATCACGATAGGCAACCAACTTAAAGGTATTTCTAGCTATCAAATTAGCTACATGTTAGTGTTACCATGTAAGGGAACTGTTGTTTTCCTCCCATTTGAGAAATCTTGGATCGAAAGTTTGGGCCATTTCTCGGGCAAGGATAGTACAAGACATCAAGATCCAGAATCGAGACAATTTCCCGAACCTGTGTATGGCATTGAATGCTAATCAGTGGTGAAAAGATATAAAACATGGTGGTGCAACTAGCTATATATTCTTTAGAGGGTACCTTCCGGCAAAATGG